GACAGCCAGAGGACCCAAAGACTTCGGGCTTGAGGGCTCCTCCTTGGGTGCTCACTTTTATGGGAAAGTCTTCTGGTGATAGAAAACAAGTGACAAAAGGACTTTCCATTCATTGGGGGTAGAATCACTCATTTGAGTGATTTTAAGATTGAAGAGGAAGACTGTATCCTAAGGTGAACATATAACTCTCAGACTGGAGAAAAAATACACAGGTCTTCATTCAAAGTTCCCAGAAGGGCGGGAAATTTCATCTCTGAAACCTGATTCAGGTGTGAAACGGGCTGAGGAAGCTCAGCCTCATGAACAGCACTTTTCTTCTGTCAGCGTCTCAAGGAGAATCATGAAGACCTGTCTTTATGTGGTTTAGGAGTCAAACTGTCTTCCCTGCTAAGATGCCCTCATCTGAGGCTCAGATTTGGCTACCAGTGCCATGACAGAGGACAGGTTCCTGGGAGAGGAAACCATCTGGGACTACCTGACTTATTGATGCACTAAGGAGCCACCTGGCTACCCAGCAGCAGGTGATTTTTTTCCTTGATGCTTAAGTGCCTTTAGGACAGATCATATAGGACTTTTCTTGGTCTGGCCAAGAAACCATTATGTCACTTCAGCCTTGGAAGAGGGTTTGTTGAACGGGCAAGGGAATGCCAGCAGGAGGTAGTCCTCTTTGAAGTATTTCAGAGAGCAACTATTTCACTTTTCCTGAAGCACTTGGGGTGGGACTGAAATCAGTGAGGTATTGAGAGCTGTGGGGTCAACGTTTAATGCAACTGTGCTAATATCAACATTCTCTAGTGGGGATGAAATTGAAATTAAGACAAGGATTCAGATTTTGGATTATATGTCTCAGTCTACTGTTTTTCACTAATATCCCTATTAGCCATCTAGACAGAACAGTTATTTGGTTCAGGATGTAACCTATTCATTGCAGGACATTTAGCATCCCGTCTCTGTCCTCTAAATGCTCCGTCAGCCACTGCTACCCCCACCGCCTCACCCATCTAAGTCACATCTATGATGCATGACAACTTGTATCACAGAGGTGATGACCACATGAACTATCCCTTGAGGACCAGGGCTGTGCTGGAGATTGCTATATTCCAATAGTTTTTCTTTTCTTCCTAAAACATATGGCTTCTGACTTCAAGGTAAGCAATTGGCTGCCCAGTTAGAGGCTACATTTGTCAGCTACCTCTCAGCTTTGCACAGCTGTAGTCACACAAAAGTGATGTGTGTTCTTCCAGCAATGCTCCTAAAAGAGGAATGGATATGAGCTCTCTGGGCCTTTTCTCCTTTCCTGCTGGCAGGAGGGTGATAACTATAGTGGTCTCCTTGAGTCAGAGATGGAAGCCTGGTGTTGAGGATCACTAAGCCACCACGGTGGGCCTCTGGTTTATTCTCTGAGAAAAAAATACATTTCCTGGCTAAGCCACTGCATTTTGAGGTCTCTTGCTTCCATCAGTTTAGCTTCTATCTTAGTTAATTCTAATCCTTATTCTAATTTCCTAAGAAAAACAAAGTCTTTGGGTTGAGGGGAGAAGGGAAACCCTGTTGTGAGGGTGCCACTCCTCAACCTTGAAGGACAGCAAGAGTGGGGACTTGACTGCCAGGTTAGCCTCTCAGGGGTAGTAGGTCCAGACTGTCTTCACCACAGTTCAGATGCACACAGGGCTCCCTGCAGAAGCTCAGGGAAGAAAAGAGGAATTCTGTACCTTTTCTTGTTTAAGGTGGATGATCAATTACAATCGGCTTGACAGCATGAGGATAAGTCCATTTCAGAGTGAGGCATCAAGATGGAGTCTGCTTACACTGGTGCCTAATGTTGTTCCAGCAGGCATATGACTCCCAAATGGCTCAGCACCTGCTCTAAGGACATTGCCCTAGAGGCTGCTCTGATCATCTTCGAAAGAACAGGCCCCTCCCAACCTCAACTCCTGCTAGACCCATCCTTACCTAATAAGACCCATGCTTTAAGCTCTAGCCTTCAGAGAGGCTGACAAGTAATCCACATGTACTTCCTCTAAAGGAAGATCTTTGACATTTAAAAGGATCATTTTCATGGAAACATTCTCACCTGGGGGAAAGAGGGAAGGATCAATGTGGGATTAGGATGAGGGAGGGGCAGGGATGCCCTGCCCTATTGGCAATGGGGAGGGGCCCCAGGAGTAAAGAGGAGGGGGCTGGATCCTTGTACCTGCTTAGAGTTACTAGACAGAGGCAGATTAAGAAAACCTGGTCAGGACAGGAAAAGACATGGATTAGGAAGTTAAGCCTGTTGGGAAAGAGCAGGTGAAGGACTGTTCCAGGTAAATGGGACATCCTCCCATTCTTGGAGGGTACTGTCCTAGGAGGAGGGAGCAGCAGAACTGGCTTGATCTTGATAACCAGATTTTAAAGTCTAGTGAAGTCTGAGAGCTGTGAAAAAGAAAAGGGGAATTTGGAGTCCCACAGCTCCCAGTCCTCTTCACCAGCCTGGGGTCAGAGGAGAGTAAGGGCTGCAGTTTACCAGCAGGTGGGCAACGGGCAATGCCTTGCAAAGCCTTGAGGTTTTTAAAGTGCTGTGCAGTATGCATGCAGTTGCTTAGCACAACAGCCAAGAGTCTGCCCTTTCATCTTTGGAGAGATACAATCAGCAACCTGACAGAATTCTGGCAGAAGCAATTAACTCATGAATTAGTTATCAAATATCTCATGCAGCCAAGGTCTTGAGGGTGCTGATCTGCATACTTTCCCAGGAACTTGGGGACAAAAAGGAAGGCCACCTGCTTTAATTTGCATTAGGAACTTTAGCCAATATGTCCATTCCCTTCCATGCCCTCCTACCCTATACATACAACACCTCCTCCTCCACCATCACCCTGGACCCACAGAAGTCTCTACCCTCACCTCCTCTGCCAGATCACCCTCTACCTTTGGCAGCTCATTCCTCACCAACCCCTGCTGCCACCATACTGATCTTCTTACTATCTCTGCCTGGATGATTTTTATTCCAGATATTTACACTTGCTGATTCCCCCAGACTGGTATGCTCTTTTATATTCCTCAGAGTGCCTGGCTCTCTCTCTTCAGATCTCCACTCAAGTGTCCTCTGATTATGAGGGAGGACTCACCTCATCCCCTTCTTCCTGTGCACACTGGGAACACCCTTGTCCCTAATACTCATCCACACCTGTTATACAATATATTTGTTTGCTTGTTTGTTTACTGTCTGAGTCTCCGCACTGAAATGAGTACTATAAGGGCAAGTACTTGGCCTATTTTGATATTTTCCTGGTTGAATGAAGAATCTGTTAACTCAAAAGCCAAAGAAAAATAATGAAAATCTCAATCTCTAGCAAGTTGTCATGGTTTCTATATTCTAACAAATAAAGACAATTCTATCTTCAGATTGTTTACTCAGCAAGTATCTCTTGTCCCTCACATTTATTCAGCTGCCAAGCCATACAGGGTCTCCCCTGAAACTCCTTCCTTCCTTCTTCCCTCCTTCAATCAGTGAATGCCTACTGACTGCTCGCTTCCTAGGTCCCAGGTTGTTTCTCTTTGCTCTTCTCACTACTGCCCCTCCAGGTGAAGCCTCACGACTTTCTCCCTGGCCCAGTATAGAAACTTCTTAACACTCTCACTGCCTCTTTGCCCTCTCCTCAGTTCATCCTGCTGGATGCTGCCTGATGAACTTCACTCCCTTCCCTGCTCAAAATTCTACAGTAGCTCACTATTTCCTATTGCCTCAAGGAGAGACTACTTCTCCCAATTCTGATGGCCTGCCATAAAATCTCAATCTAACCATGAGCCCCGTCTACTATTTCAGAATATATGCTTCAGCCAAACTGGCCCACTCTTTCTTTTTTGAATTCGCTCGCAACACTGAAAACAACACAAATCCTCTCTGCCCAAACTCTATCTTCTAGTGCATTCTTAAATGCCACCCCAGTGCACTTTCTTACCCAACGTAGACACTCTCATTTGTGAACTTCTATGACTCTATGTTTATACCTTTCTCTAAACATCTGTAGCCTTCCCTGAGTTGTACTTATCTGCCGAAGTTCCTTATCTTACTCAATAGAGAACTCTGGAGAGCAAGGATTGTAGCTCATTCATCTTACTTTCCCGAGTCACAGCTAAACTAGAATCTTGCTTAGTACACATGCTCCGTCACTATTTGTTGAACTGAATTTATTTTTTTAAATTTTTTTTTAATTTTTAATTTTATTTATTTTTTGGTGCTGGAGATTATCTAGGTCTTGAGCCCTCTAAACGTGCACTCTACCACTCCAGCCTCTGAACTGAATTTTTTTTTAAATATTTATTTTTTTTAGATGTAGATGGCACAACACAATATCTCTATTTTTATGTGGTGCTGAGGATCAAACCCGCGCCCGCCGGTGCTAGGCGAGCGCTCTATCACTGAGCCACAATCCCAGCCCCAATTTTTTTTCAATTTTTAATTTTTTTAGTTGTAGATGGGCACAATATCTTTGTTTCATTATTTATTTATTTTTATGTGGTGCTGAGGATCGAACCCAGTGCTTCATGCATGCGAGGCAGGCACTCAACCACTGAGGTACAACCCCAGGCCTCTGAATTGAAATTTGACGCACAGAGTGTTGCACCATGCCAGGTGCTCAGGGGAATGTAGATGAATAGCATGCGGTGTTTACTTCATAGGAATTGAATAATTATGGAGATAAGATTGCCAACATAAAATTGAATTTTTGTGTGTGTGGTGCCAAGGATCAAACCCAGTTCCTCATGTAATAAGCATGTGTTCATACCCCTGACCCCAAATTAAAATTTTTTATTCACTTTCACCAAGTATTTATCGAGTACCTACTGTATGTTACATATAATAAAATACAGTATGGAATGTCAAATTAGTGAGGCAGAAACCAAGAACAAACTGAGGAAGATTCTAGGTGTACACGTGCACCTGATTTAGCTATCTCCAACACTTCTTAAAAATCTAACTTTTGGTTGGATGAAGCAAGAGATGTTAGACATACCCGGGGATGCTGCATGTTCCAAGTGGCCCAGCTGCGGCTGCCTGGTGATTCTGTAGATCAATTCTGCAGGCTCACTGTCCTGGTCAGTGGCTGAGAGCTGGAGAGTGGTGATTTTCTTCACTGAGTTTTCATTCAAGACTAGCCCTTTATTGTTTGTGACCACTGGTGGGGATTTGTCCTCTGAAAGTATCAGAGATAAAGATTCAAAGTGAGATCTTTTCAGCCCCCTTTCTTCAGTTCTAGGCCTGCTAGCCAGGGTTAGGATCAAAGAGATCCTCAAGCCAGTCCCTCAGGGACCTCACCAGGGGGCCAAAGCTAAGCAACCATACAGGTGGTATGATTTTCAACTTTTATGCTGGCTAAGTGAAGGGAAGAATTCAAGATTCAAGGTGACCACAGTGTAAACTACGTAACTTCAGAACTGCTGAAGTATTTTTGCACTAGAAAACATTACACCTCTTTACCTAAAATACTGATGGAAAATGACTGGTCGGTCAATTTGTTGCCTTCTCCATCAACCACATCAAATTTAAAAGCAAAGCTCCCACCAGGTTCTCCTGTTCCATGACTGAATTCTATCTGCCCTATAAAGAGGAAAAAAAAAATCAAGATTTGTTATTAATGTTTTCTGCCCTTATTTCTGGAGCAAGAAGGGACCTCAATTGGTATTCACACCAATGAGTCACTTTGATATTATTACCTTTGACATTTGGTATTCACACCAATGAATCACTTTGATACCACCTTTGACATTTTAATCTCAAGTTTTCATTTCCTCCATTTGCCCCCCCACCATGGATTTGCTCACACCCAAAGACATCCTCATAACAAATTCACTTCAAGTGACATTTCTTATGGCTGAAGCTTGGCTTCTTAAAATGACATTTCTATGGTTAAGGCCTAGCCTCTAAGGAGGTCTCACGACAGAACTGCCCAGTGTGCAAAATGTGCACCAATCACACCCACATCACTTGGAGTGGCCCTGCTATTTATCCCAATCCCAAGGCAAAAGGATGCTGCAGCCCCTTTTTCAGTGTTCTTCACTCTTCACTGAACCATACATGCAGTGATGTGGACTCTAACCAGCAGAAAATAGAGAAGCACACAAATAAACTCCACACAGAGCTCAAAAGGATCCAAAGGGAGAACGATAAGACATTGCATTTTTGTTAACCCACAGCATCATTTATATGTACTCATTAATGTAACTAAACCTCTGGGAAGAGGTGTCCTATCTCATTTTTTACCAGGAGACACAGAAACATGGGATAATAAGTGAATTCCTATTCTTTGTCTCTTCCTCCCCCTTCACTGAAGCTCAGACAGATCTGATGAGAATTCAGGTACTATCAATTTCAGGTATTTTTGCCTGGGTGAGACCCTTGTTTCTGCTCTTCAGGGGCACATTTCTACCTCTAAAAGGAACTGCACATCATCACATGACTTTGGACAACTCCCCCCCCCCAAGACTAACTTTTTTCCCTTTTACATCCCCTGAAAGCACTGTACAGTAACTACGTAGCATTTAACATTTATGCCTTCACATTACATCAGCATTTCCTGAAGGAGGGATGAGCCGTGTAATTTCCTCCAGGCAGCTCCGATTTATGCCCTTCTATTTTGCTTAGTTCATTAACTTGTGCTCTTTGGGGAGCTGAAAAGAGATATAAATTGCTCACCTAAGGAAGGCATAATTTTCACCTTAATCCATCCCAACTCACTTCTTTTTTCTTTTCCTCTCTCACACACACTTTTTAGCATCATAACAAGTCAAAATGACTTTTTTCTCCTCCATAATTGCCTTCAGTTTAATTAATGTTATGTCAAAGCATGCACATTTTTTTGCCAAGAAAGATAACTCTTCTTCTTCCTCCCTCTCTCTCTCTCTCTCTCTCTCTCTCTCTCTCTCTCTCTCTTTTTCTTTTGACAACAACAACAAAAAATGGAGACCAAGAGAAAAAAAAGAAGCTGTAACTCAGCTTTTATTCAAAACAAAGCAGTCATGGTTTACTGCCTCAGGCTACCAGGCTTTAACTCCCACTTTCCTATTGTGGGTGGAGTCCAGGGAAGCCTGGGTAGGCAGAGAGAACTGGCTGACCTTGGTTAATGTCTGCCTGAGTGAAACTTCGGATGGGACCTTTCACAGAGACTTGCTCCAGGCTGTCATGCTTAACCTTCTGCAGGCGTCCTGCACCAGGATCTTCCTTCATGATGTACATAACCTGACGGTCATCTGAGTCAGTGTCTGTCACTTTCAGGTGCTGTTCTGTGATGCGGGCTACAGATCCTGAAAATGAATGGAAAAGAGGAGGTCCTTCTCCATTGGTTCCTTCAAATGGCAAGTCAAATGATTTCAGGAGACTAGAGGCTAAATTATCATACATTTTTTTGGAGGCCTCTGCACCAGGTACTTCCCCTTATCAGTTTCCAAATGAATAATTTAATTACCCTAAATGAAATAGTCTCTTGAACTTAGATCTGAGTTCCTTTGCTCTTCTTATCTATTTTTACTTTCCTGAGACTCATTCTACCCAGTGGCCTATCAGTTTAAGTACCTGGATCTATGTAATAACTCCTAGTTCGGTGATGCAAATAACCTTTAGATCTATGATGAAATCTGCTTGGATTTAATTGAGTTATTGTTTTGAGGAAAAAAACCAGCTTCACATAAACTTATAAACATATCTGAGATGTTGTTGTCTCAGATGGAATTGTCAAAATCAGTGCTTCTGAATAAGAGGATAAACTCAGTATCAGGAGCCAGGTGACCTGCTATACAGGTATCAGGGCTGGAGGCAAAGCACTCCCTACTGGAAAACACTTCTTCTCAAGTGTTTTCAACACTTCTTCCCTTTTGCTTCCCTGTTCTGCCATTTTCTTATGTTTAAAATAGTAAATTCTAGAAAAGTAGATACTCATCATTCATGTGTCATGATTCCTGGAGTTTGGAGCTGCAGTGCACCATAAGCCCTGAACATTGCTAATGATCTTACTGGATGACACCTTCAATGCCCAGCCCTGACCACTTTACTCAGACCATCTCTCAGCAAGGAACCTTTAGGGATGAGGTACTATCTTCCTCTGGGACAAAGGTCAAACTTTTTTGCTATGATGTGGAAAGTTCTCCAAGCTCAAAGTTCCTCTCCAGTAATATATCACACTGCAAGTAAAGGCATCCATGTGGGCCATCTGCATCACCCCCATGGGACTTGAAGGGTAGAGGAATGCAGGGCAAACCTGCTGACATCCATGCTGCCTGTGGTACTCTGAGGAACAAAGTACTTTGTTTCTGATGGAGGAATCTTGTGTCTTCTATCAGCGTCCATGAAACAGTAATAGGCTAGCTTGTAATAAGGGTAAAGTTGAATCCTAGACTTGATATGCAGGGCTTCTGGGAATGCTCAAAGTTTTAAATACTATCATACCATATGTTTTTCAATATAAACTACATGTGAAACTAAGAATAGACAACACAATCCTAGCATGACGCAGAAAGGCTAGCAAAAGGCTCACTCCCTCGTTTCTTAATTTCCTACTGCGGAGTCTAAGACTAATAATAGTTGCAGGTCCTTCAGTGTTGCTAACACATGGCAAAACTGTGAAAGTTAGATACTGGAAATCATATTGAATAATTCTCTATTATTTGCATAGTTCATTTTAATATATGATCCCTCTTCCCCCAAACTATCCCTCCATGACTTTTTAAAAAAATAAGCATTCTGAAATTTGCTAGATATCTTTTGCTATTGCTTTCCATGGGGTTGGCTGAACAGAAGTAACACTACAGGAAACCTGGGCCTAGGAGTAGTTGGATAAATTAAGATTTTTTGAGGACACTGAAAATACTATAAATTCTTTGCAAATTTTCCTTAAATTTACAGAGACATCTGGTCCAAGGAATTTCAGAGGCTCACATCTATCATACATAATTCTCAGTATCCCTAAAACAACAGGTTCTCCAAAATCCTAGTCTCCCCAAGTATTGAATAGCTAGTTTCAGATCCACCCACAGCACCAACTTGAAAAGAGGTACTGGACACTGGCCAAAAAAGAAATGAGGATAGAAGAAGTAAGGCCATCTCTCCTCTTCTTCTGTGGTACCTGCTGAGAGCTGTAGGCCTCGGTTCACAGCCAATCGGGGAGTATCACTTGTGGGCAGTTCTATGTAGACCTCCATCCTCCCTGTGTCCACATGGAGGCCATCAGTGAGCGAGAAACGGAACTCATCCACTGCTATACCAGAGTTACTAGGCATGTACCCAATCAGCCCAGCCAGGACATCCTGGTAGGTGAAGGAGGAACCATGGGCTAAAACTGTCCCATTCTCTAGAGGCTCAGAAGCAGTAAGTCTCCGGAGTAGATGACCTGAGGAAGGAAATTTTAAAAAAAGACAAAGAAACAATGGTTGAATATATATGGTACCAAGCTGTGCATGGTGGTGCGTGCCTCTAATCCCAGCAGCTCAGGAGGCTGAGGCAGGAGGATTGCGAGTTCAAAGCCAGTAAAATCGAGGCACTAAGCAACTCAGTGAGATCCTGTCTCTAAATAAAATACAAAAAATAGGGCCCGGGATGTGACTCAGTGGTTCAGGGGCCCTAAGTTCAATTCCCAGTACGAAGGAAGGAAGGAAGGGAGGAAGGGAGAGAGGGAAGGAAGGAAGGAAGAAAGGAAGGAAGGAAGAATATATATGGCACCAAAACATTTTCCACTTATGCCAACCAGTATGAGCCTGGATAGAATACCAGGCCCCTCAGACACTCTTGGTGGCAACAACTTAGCATTTTACAAGTAAGCATGGGCTGACCTCTGGCCTCATCTATAAAGACAAAGTTGCTCTTTTCCTGGTTTAAAAAAATCTCTTAAAGAGACACAAATGGATGGTGCAATATAGCAGCTTAGGAATCACATCTCCCTCCTGAATTCAAACTCACTTCATTATCTAAATTTTATTTTTCCCTTTTGCAAAGTGAAAATAGCTGTCTTCACTCCCTGTCTTTCTATTAGGGCATGTGGAACGAGAGATGGGAATATGTTTTAAATTCCTCTTAAATTCAGAAAGACACTAAGCATCTTTATATTGAGGCTTATTTTTCTGTTTTCAAGGGTCATGTACTCTAATGGGACAGTTAAAGTGCTTTATTAGTGAAAGTGACAGTGAATGAAAGCCAACAGCCTCTTCTGTTAATGCAAAGGCCAACAGCCTCTTCTGTTAATTTCCCATCAACAGCAACAATTTCATCTTTGAAAGGCCAGTAGGTGTTACATAGATTGAAACACACCACTCTGGCTCCAGATCTTTTGCTAATACCTGGGTGATGGAGCTCAGAAATAGGTGAGTAGAAGATCCCCACAGTACTTTCTCTACCTAGTTTAAATCAGGAAAAGTGCTTTCTCTGGAAAGGGAAGAAGCTCATAGAGAAATCTAGCATGCTAAGAAGCTACCAGAGATGGCTTGAGATTATCTACCTGTGCCTGCTCTGAAAGAGGAGATGCAAATGTTGAAAGCTGTTCTGCTTGAAGTTACAAAGGAAAGCAAAAAAACAGCTGAAATTAAATGTCAGAGATACCAATTACCTAGGATTCAGGCTTTTTAAACAATCAACGTCTACCCTGACGCCAAAGAATATTAGTTAGCTGTGAATCTGATTATACTTTATGCAAATAATGGACTATATATAGTAAAGGCAAAGAAATAACCACCTGAAATCTATGTGCTTCTTTTAATAACCCATCAGGCACCTCAATTAAGAAGCTTTCTACAGCAGTTTGTGTCCTACCATGGTTGGGCTTTTTTGTCAATACAAAAATCAGCTCATTATCTGGGGTGTCCAGGTCTTGCAGGCTCAGAGAAGAATTGCTTATCACCACTCCAGAGCTCAGCCGTACTCCAAGGGGCCGCAAGGTCATCCTGGGAGGCTCATCGTTCTTCCTCTGATTAAAGCATAAAATATTCAGTCTCACACAGACATTGGTTTCAGAAGAAAGTAAAAGCACATTATTCAGAGAAAGTATCACTGTTGCAGAAACTTTCACTATTAAAATAGCATTTAAAGTGTTACCATCTTCACCTCCTAATCAAAATGATTAGTTTGAAGAAACAAAAGAGAAAGCCACATAAACAACATGTCCCTTTGAAAAGAAGCATTCTACAAAAAAAAATTCCAAAATATTTCCCATAGTTACAATAAGCATTTCTTCTAGATCAAAACTATGGTCATGTTTTGAGAAGCGCAAATATATTTGGGGGATTGAGAGATTTACTATTCAAATCATTACTATTTGAACTCAGAATCATGTTTAAAAACTCTAAGCACATCACAGTAGCCATAGAAAGACACCATATTTGACTGTGACTTTCTCATGCTATTTCTCAACCCCCATCCACTACTGTCCCTTAAGATTCTAAAGGTGTCATTGGCTTTAAATGCCCAAGGCACAGGGTAATCCATTCAGATTTATCTTTTCTCTCTGTTCCTGGGGTGGTAGGACAAGACTGTAGTTGCTCAAATGAAAACATGAATACAGAATCCAGGATCATGTTTCTTTGATGTTGCAATGGAATGAATAAATGCATTAAAATATAAGAAAAGGCAAGTGTGCATGCAGAATCAAACACATATGAAGGCCTATATTTCACAGAAAATGAGGCATATGTTGGTTTTCATCTAAAGTGGGACTGACAAGGCTTTTCTGACTCTCACAAACTGTTTTCACACAGGACGAATAAATTTTATCCTGAAATAGAAATTCAGATTTTCAACTCAGACCTCCCCTAAATGCCAACCTTAATTCCATAAGCTTGCTGAAGGTCAGGGTTATGTTTTAAAATTCAAAGTCAAATCCAATCCTTTGCTTTTGAGTCCATCAAAAGAAATCTAGTGTAAGATACTGGGTGGACAAAGCCTTGACTTTTCCAAATTCCGAAGTTGTTACCTCAATGGTGATGTTGATGCTGTGAATTTCCGAGCGACTGGCTCCATCACTCACATAAAAACTAAAAATGTCATGTGTTGGCTCGATGCTTTCATGAACACTCTGAAAGTAGTAAATGTAGTTTTCTAGGATATCTTGAATAGGGAATGATGCCTCTAGGTCACTGGTAGCTCCGGGGCCAAAACGATCACCTGCATCAACATCAAGAGAAGACTTTCACCTTGATTCATTGATTGCTGATTACTAGACTCAACTAGAAAATGAGA